AGTCACATTCTTTGAAATGTGAATTAAATTGCCCATAAAATTATGGGAGGAAGTCTAACATGTGTTATTTGCTGCTTAATACAATAACTGGTGTTCATGGAATGTACCTTCATAGATAGTGGAATTTATCTCCATAGAGAATTTGTTTCCTCTCACCAAAACTCAAACTTAAAAAACAGTTTTTTTTCTACATTTTTAAAAATATTAAGGGGCTGAAGAGATGGCTCAGTGGTTAAGAGCACTGACTGTTCTTCCAGAGGACCCAGGGTCAATTCCCAGCACCCACCTGACAGCTCTCAACTGTCCCTAACTCAAGTTCTAGGGGACCTGACACCCTCATGCAGGCAAAACACCAATGTGCATAAATAAAAAGAAAGAGTGTTGGAATGGGATGGAGTCATATCTCATTAATAGAGTGCATGCCTGAGCATGTGAAAAGCTCCCAATTTGACCCTCAGCATAGAGAGAGAGAAAAGGAAGAGAGAATTGCCCTGAATCTAGAGATATATACTGAGCTCTTGGTTCTCACCTTGGCATAATGTCATTTGCTCCCTATATTATCTATCGGTTTTCTAACAGCTCTCTTTCAGTCCAATGTAGAGGGTGTTTAGTTACTGGGTTTTTTGTTTGTTTGTTTGTTTGTTTGTTTTGTTTTAAAGGTTTTGACCTTGATGACTTCTGGGGAGGGAGAGTTTACTACCTTTAAAGGTGGACCACACTCTAGTGGACGGCCTCACACCCATGAATGCATGGGTAACACAAACTGGAATCAGTTGATTCAAAACAACAACCACAATTAGGACGTCAAGTTGGGAGGGGATCTGGAGGGAAGAGGAGAATGTAAGAGGTGGTACAGGAATAGGAGATGTGGGGGCCCACAGAGGTTTCCTAGTGAGATCTCAGCTTGCTTTATCCAAAAGGGCTGCATAATGGGATGGATTAACCATGTGTGCAGTTACCAGGTGTTTGGAAGGGTCTACACTTGGCTGTGCTAGCAGGAGGTCTTTTGCTCTACCCCTTTGCTCTTTATACTTCCTATAAAGAGCCCTTTAGAAGAGATGGAAAGGGCCAGTGGATTAGGATCCAGCCCCCCCCCCAATGCTGTCCTGTGTTTCTGTCTGTCTTTCCCCGCTCTATATTTCTACCTAAATCTCTTAGACCTCACACCTCAAGAGTACCCTGGGGGATAAAGTGGAGGCATGTCCCCCACAAATGGCACCATGAACAGGGACCAAGGACTTCACAAAAGAGTGTCAGGGGGCATCATGGGTATTGGCAGTGTAGTAGATATAACACTGTTTACTCAGGCCTCTGGATTTATGTTGAATCATTTCTGCCAGTGTTATTCTGTTTCCTGATGCAAAGGACAACTGGAGTCAGACTATAGCTTGGATTAAACTAAACGAATGAGATGAGATGATCATTTACTCCTGGAAGAGAAAGTCACACCACAGCAGCTGGAATCTCCATGTGCTAGAATGCACTCTGCCACTGAGCTACACCCCAGTCCTGCTGCTGGGTCTTGAATCTCAAATTCAGAGTGTCCAGTTCATCCTCTCCAAAGGGTGATTGTGTCATCCATCCTCTGGGGCTTCTCCCTCCTGGAAAAGAAGAGCAAATCATTTAAATGACTTCTTGGACAGCCTTCCAACCTGGCCTGGTGTCTGTGGGCGGCCATGCTAGCTGCATCCGGATTCTCTTAGTGTTTTCCAGGTTGTAGGGCAAGACCCAGACTGCCTTTTTTCTGGATGTCTCTTTCCAGGAACACTTGAGGATTGATTCCTCACAGCTTAAATTTATGTTCTCCCTGTACAGGTTACATATTCTGTGCTTTTTCATTGGTACTGCCTTTCCCATGTGTTTTTAGGTGAATTGGAAGATTTGGAAACTTGTGTCCAGCATACTTCTTCAAACACCAGATCCAAGTACATTCTGTAGATGATGGTGCATTGTGGCAACTTTTGACCTTCGAAGTTGGTATTCACAGTGAAATGTCTGACAGACCCTTAGTCAACTTCCAACTTCATAGGTCTAAAGCCCACAATGCTCATTAAATTAATTCCTTTAATCCCAGAAACAAGATGAATAAATTATTAATTATGAACACATTGTACATTCTTTCCCATTATAATATAACAAAATTATCTGGGATCTCTAAACCACCTAAAAAAGTGGCTAAAAGCACATTTTTTTTTTTTTTAACCAAAGGAGAGTAAAGTCTGGGCTCAAATTATATATGCTTGCTGTTTTATTTTTAAAGCATTTGCTCACTATTTCAAATGAAACAAAAATTAAGATTGAATATTGTCACTGCCTGTAACTCCTGCACCAGAAGAAATAACTTTTGAAATTGGAACCACCCCTTGCCTTTGGAATAGTCACAATGAATCATTGATAGTGATTTGGCTCTGGATGTTGAGTAAATATTTGTCTATTCAATCCCCAAGAAAGCACAAGTTCATAACTGTTCAAATGTGTGTAACGAAAATTCTATTTTGTCAACAGAATGCACAAAGTTGTACAGATAACAACCGTATGTTCTGGAACACTGCGTTAGGAAGGACACAAGGGAGATGGCGAGTGACCTTTTCTGGTTTCTGTCATTTTGAATTCCCCAAATCCATCTCAGTCTGTTTATTAAAGAATCAATATTAATCTGACAAAAACAGTGGCATTGTTCGTGATTTTTAAATAGAATGCTTAAACAATGACTTAGAGATAATACCGGACCCCTCTAAGGCCAAGCAGAGGAACTCCCATTGTTGGAAATAGAGTTCACTATCAAGTTGACAATTTGTATGACTTAGGAGCTTCCTTCCTAGGCTGATCCTGGGCATGCTGCTTTGGGGTTCTGGTGGTTTTCTGTTCAAGAAAGTGCACAGCTCCCTGAGCTGATGACTTCTGAAGGAAACTCACTAGGGTATGTTTGTTTGAGTCTCATTTTTAGAGTCCTATTTCTTCCTAGTGACCTTTGATGCTCTAACATGGAAATTAGTTGGGACAGTGGAAGACAAGACCTTTTGTGAAAGATATTAGGAAAGTTATTTCACATGTACTTTATTTATACTTAAAAGTACTGATTTATGGGTGTCTTATTTAGGGTTTTAATTGCTGTGCATAGACACCATGACTATGGGAACTTTAACAAAGCAAAAGCACTTAATTGGGGTGACGTACATTTTCAGAGGTTCAGTCCATTATCATCATGGTAGGGAGCATGGCAGCGTGCAGTTAGTTATGGTGTTGCTAACATCTTGATATGCAGGCAACAAATAGGAAGTAGACTGTCTCACTGGGAGTAGCTTGAGTATAGGAGACCTCAAAGCCCACTGCCACACTGACACACTTCCTCCAACAAAGCAACACTTCCCAATAATGCCACTCCCTTTGGTGGCCATTTCCTTTCAACCCACTGCAGGCGTCCAGGTCTATGATGGTAGTGACAGGAGCTGGATTTCTTGACTATTGGTTGGATCTTGAACTTCACCCAAAACAGGGTTGGATCAAAACAGGGAGACCTCAGCTCTGATACGGAAGGTCCTCACTTTTTTTCCTCACACTGGCCTGTGTAGTAAGCATGCTAAAGAATTAACTGAAGTCACACTGTTAAGAACACAGGGAATGCAAGTTCATCACTACTTCCATCTCTGCATCAGGACCAAGCCCTTTCCCTGGGGAGGAGGTAACTACACCCTCTCCCATCACTTTCCTGTGACTGTGCTTCCTCCAGCTCTGAAGATGAATAAAGAGGATCTTAAGTTGGCCCATAGTTACTGCAGGGTATTTGTTTACTCTGAGTAAAGAAGATGTGTCTATGTATTCCCTCACTTGCTTAAGGCACCTAATTAGTTTAATAAAGATCTGAATGGCCAATAGTTAGGCAGGAGAGAATAGTCAGGACTTCCAGGCAGAGAGCTGAATTCAGGGTTAGCATCTGTCCTAGCAGGCAAAATCATTGAGACAGGAAGGGAGTTGGACATAAAGAATGAAGGAGAGGTAAAGAGGCACATGGCAGAAAGTAGACTAATAGAAACAGATCATTTAAGTCATAAGAGCTAGTTGGGAACAAGCCTAAGCTAAAGGCCATGCTTTCATTAATAATAATGTCTCTGAGTCATTGTTTGGGGGCTGGCAGTCCAAAGAAAGTCCAACAAAAAAGACTCAATATACACAACACTGGTTTGAAGTATTACTCTGGGTGTGGACCAGAAAGCATGCAGGGCTTTAAAGTTGCTGTCCCTTATATCAAATGATGACCAGTATGTTGATCTTCTAGTCCTTTGCTTATGCTGGGGGATGACTTAAATCAGTAACTTAAAACACAAAAATACAAACAAACCTGACTGCTCATATGTTAGCACGTGTCTTTAACCTGAGCACTCGGGAGGCACAAGAGTTCAAGGATACCCTTGTCTACATAGCCATTGCCAGACCAGCCAGGGTTCACAGTGAGATCTTGTCTCAGAAAGAAACCAAACCACCGGTTTGCAGCAATTCATACTACTATCAAGAAAGTCTAGAAAAGGAATCTGACTAAGCAGAGACATATCAGTGCTAAGAGATCTCCTTTGTGGAAAGTTCTATGAAAGATAATTTTAAGTGAAAGAGATGATACAAAAAGGTCAATGCACACAGAACCATTTAATTTTAAAAGACTGTTGATGTATAGTCACACCTTATTTTAAGCAGTAAAGCATAACCACTTTTTTTCTTTACATTGGTCATATTCAAGATAAAATAAAATGAGCTCCCTGTTTTAGGAGGAGTGTTATCTCCTGGTTCTTTGTGAGCAAAGTCTTTCAATGGTGTCATTTTATCATTCACTGCAGACTGGAACATCTCTGTTCAAACACTGGCAGAAAATAAAAAATGCTTTTAAAGTTTGTGGATCAATAAGAACTTCCTGCTTGGCACTAAGCTCAAAAGGTAGAACCCTCAAACCACTAGAGGATGAAGGGAGGAGAAGATGCTTAAATACTGGGGACCTGGCTGCTCTGGGCAGCTGCTGAGTTGATTTTCAGGTCAACATGAAGGCTCTCCTCTCTCTGGGGCTCTTCCTGCTTTCTGTCACTGTCCAGGCCAAGGTCTATGAACGCTGTGAGTTCGCCAGAACTCTGAAAAGCCATGGAATGGATGGCTACTTGGGAATCAGCCTGGCAAACTGTAAGTCTTTTGTTCTTGACCCCTCCAGATGATTATCTGGATACCCCCTGCATAACAGGTACAAGGAAGCAATCAGTGAGCAGAGAGGGAGCTGGGGTCAATAGTTTTTAGAATTCCTGCCTGTTTGACTAGTTTGATTAAAAACATCAGTGTTCATCTTTTCCATCAGAGATACTGCAGTGAGGGCATGGGAGGGGACATCTTCCCCGGCTAAGGCAATAGGACCTGAGGTGTTCATGGAGAGTCACTAGGTTTTCCAGTTGTTTCAGACTCAATAGCCCACAGGGGGTGAGAAAAGATGGGAGGACTCACTCATTCAGAACTTGAGTTCTGAGAGCCTGGGGTGACTGGGATCTGTCTTCATTTCTCTGACCTTGGTATGGAACTTTAGAGAGAAAAACTTTCAAACCTTTTGAACTTCCTATGCAGGGCAGAGGGATCCTATTTTTCTGCCTAGTCTCTTTTTAATAAGTGGGGTCTTCTGAACCCGAGAATGAAATGACTTGGTACAATTCTTCACTCTGGGAAGGCCTTTTATTCTGTATAATGGAAGACGTGGATGAGGAAAAGTTGTTCATGGCTTACTCCATCTACATCCTTGTAACTAGTGTGGTTTTCAGATTGGTTTAAGGCAATTACCACTCAATAAGTAATTGTCCATGAGGAACGAGTGAGCAGCCAGATGTATGTGTGGATGGTGGATGGGTGGGGGGCGTGGGTGGATGGATGGATTGATTTGTAGAATAACTTTTTCTGTTTTAATGTTCTCACTTTCAATATTTATCTGCTGTTTGTGATGGTACATACTCCTGAAATCCAAGCAATGAGACGCTGAGACAGGAGATTGCATGTTGTGCAATCCAAACTAGGATACATAGTGACACAGAAGAAAAGAGATTCCTAACATGCAAATTCACCTTTCATATCTATGAGGAAATTCTGAATTTCCTAATAGGAACATCTTTATTTGCATATGTGTTAGATATTCATTCATAAAACCCACCTAACTACTATTTGTGTTTCTATTTTAGGGAGGGACCTTGAGGGCAGATGGAGTAGGGAAAAGCAAAGGAAGAAACAGCTGTTTTATTTTGGGGAGGAGGGAGCAGGGTTTTACTGTATGGCACTGTCTGGCCTGGAACTTGCTGTGTAGACCAGGCTGATCTCAAAACCACACAGATTCACATGCCTTTGCCTACAGACTGCTGAGAATAAAGGTGACCACCACTGTGACTGGTTCATCTATTTGCAGGTTTAAAGGACCTTATCCTGTTTAAACTCAGTGCAATTAGATTTGTCCTCAAAGAGATTCTCTTTGGGGCACCTGAGAATTTTCACATGCTGACTAGGTACCTACTTGAACAGCAGGGCCAGAAGGATCACTTGAGACCAGAGACTACACTGAGTAACAGAGCCAGACCTGCCCTGAATTCATGGCCCCATATTTTATAATTTAATTATATGGTTGTATTCATAATGTAAATCACTTGTAAAATATGGCCAGATCAAAGAGATAATTTTGGTTTCCAATAATAATCATTTGCTGTTGCTGCTTATTGATGAATATCCTTTTTCTTTGTAGGGGTGTGTTTGGCTCAGCATGAGAGTAATTTTAACACACGAGCTACAAACTACAACCCTGGAGGCCAAAGCACCGACTATGGGATATTTCAGATCAATAGCCGATACTGGTGTAATGATGGCAAAACCCCAAGAGCAGTGAATGCCTGTGGGATATCCTGCAGTGGTAAGACAAGGCGGGTTAGAGGGATAGCAAACAACCCCTGCTCTTATGTGCAAGAGCAGAGGCTCTGTGCAATAGACATGACTGAAGGAAGCATCAGGAAACTGGGGAGACTGGACTGTTAGAAAGTCATTGCTATTCACATCAAATTTACCCAAGGAAGACATTAGGCTTAGGGCATAGCTTGGTGATAGAATGCCCTGCCTACCAATCAGAGGGCCCTTGGTTCCACCTCCAAAATCACTGACTGAATACTCAATGTATACAGAGGCTGGCCAGGTAGCTCAGACAGAAAGTCTCCAATGCCAAGGTTTGACCCTCAGCACCCACATAACAGCTGAGTTTGGTGACACGCATTTGTAAGACCAGCACTGGGGAGTCTGAGACAGCAGATCATGGGGCTCACTGGCCAATCAGATAGGCTGATCTGTAAGCCAGTTCCGATGGCAGACCCTGCATCAGAAACAATGTGGACTGCTTCTAGGGAACAACTCCTGGTGTGTCCTCTGACTTCTACACACACACACATATCTGTGCAGGTTCCCTGGTGCACAGACCAGCACACACAGACACAAACCTTAAATTAATAGAAAATAGGAAGTAAAGAGCTGGTATCCTTAAAACTTGGTGGGATATTTTTTTGGGGGGGTGGGGTGGGATATTTTTTAACCTATACTGACATGCCTTCATCCACACACAGACACATACTTATAATTAAGAAAAACAAACATTTATAACACATCATTTTATAACATATGAAAATTTCTGGAATATACACTAATTAATTGTAAGTGGGCTTATTGGTGTTTTGTCCTGGAGATTTCCATTCTAGCTGCTTACTTAGGGGTAGTTATGGAAATTGTCGCAGGTCATTTTTGAGTAAATGAAATTTATAATAAAGATTTCTAACATATACAAATGAAGATATTTCTATAATAATAGCCATATGAGAAAGTATCACTGAATAACTGCCATCTTGTCCAACTGGCTTCTATGTGTATGGATTGATTTACTCTTTGTGTGGAGGGATTTTAGAGTGAGTTACTAATGTTTAGTTCTGTTTTTAAACTCTTTATTTTGCATGTCCAAACAATCTAGTTCTTAGATTGAAATTATCTGATCTAACAAAATACCACAGATTCGTGTATTTAAGATGAAACTTATTTTTAACAAGAAACAAACATGGTTCATATCAGGATTGTGGTCCGGGACCGTAGAACTTGTGCTCACGCAGTGAGAGAAGTATTTTGTAATTTTTAGTGCTTGAATTAAATTGGTCAATGGTGTTCTAGTTTTCCAGTGTGTGAATTGAACCCAAAGCTTGCTACCATATAAATGCTGGGAATCAAGTCCTCTGGAGGAGCATCCAGCGTCCTAAGCCACTGAGCCACCTGTCCAGCCACTGTTTTTCTTTAGGATGAATTTCCAGTGGTAGTCCCAGGTGACAGCTATTGGTGGGCTCTATTTTCCAGTGTGAGAAAAAAGTATATCCCAACTCCCAGGGGCTTTATAAATGAGAAATAAAATGACTTACACCTTTTCACCTGCATAGAATCAAGAGAGGCTGTCTCCAATAATCACAGATGCAGGGACACTTGCAAATAATTTCTTTTATGCACTGCTCAGTGTCACAGAAGAAAGCTGGCTGGATCCCAACTGAAAATGGCTTCTGTAACAGTCCTTGTCCTTCCTCATACCTGTCTTTCAGCTTTGCTCCAGGATGACATCACTCAAGCCATTCAATGTGCAAAGAGGGTTGTGAGGGATCCACAAGGCATTAAAGCATGGTATGTTGGAACTCTGGAATGGGAACTGCTGGTTCTGTTGATAAGTGTGGTGAGTCTTTCTAAGACCCAAGTGTTATTCTGAGCACTGTGGCTACAGCTGGGGCCTTTCACTCCATCATTAGGTTTAGAGAATTTCTCCAGATTGCAAGAATTCCCACACACGACTGCTTCCTTCTCAGGCCCCCAGACTATTTGTATCATCAGTTAACTATTTTGTGCCTGTGATATCACAGTGACATTGAGCATGCTGTGCTCTGCCCAGGGTTTGGAGAGGATCAAACAGCCTTGTAGACACAACTCCACCAGTCAGTAGTGGGTTCTGAGTGTAGCTATAGTTAGAAAGCAATCTCCATGAGTGTCACTGTTACACTATTTCCCTCACAGGTTTGAGAATGTGTGTGACAGAGGACACAGTTCTAACCATTTCCTCCTGTCTCACTCTCCTCCACAGGGTGGCCTGGAGAAGCCACTGTCAAAACCGAGATCTCACCCAGTACATTCGCAACTGTGGAGTCTAACCGCCCTGTGCCTCCACCTCAGCTCACCCTGTCTCTTTCTCACTATAGAAGTAGTTATGGGAAAGGTCACATTTCCTCGGTTTCCCCTTTAGACAAGCAGGCTTTTATCAGAAACAGGAACAACATGGAGACTGTTTCCTAAGAGACTTAATGCTGACTAATGTGTTCATTGTTTTATGGAAAGCCTCCAATTTTGGTTAGCCAAAGCGGCAGATGCTGGTGACAGTGATCTAGCATTGAGTGTCACACACATCTCTATACATCAGTTCTTCACCTACGAAGTAATTCACATTAAGTTTTATTGGAATTAATCTCCATCTCTCCACTGTTGGGTAGACATACAGCAGAAATGTAAGGAGACAGTAGATCTTGGGTGAAATGGCAGCTGTGTGAGCTTCCAGGGTCAGCCCCCGAACAGTTAAGAACAGCCACACTGTGGGGCAAGGCTGGTTTTTAAGGGAACAGGTCTCTGAGTGCATAGAACTGAGATTGCCTCAACTCAGAAACTTGGTGTCACGAAATGTGTGACCTTTCAAAAGCGAATTATCTTAGAGTTGGCCATTCATAGTGCTTAATAGTAGATTCTTACCTCATGTGTTATTCTGTGTTAACACTTGAGAGAATGATCCATGCCTCTAGTTGATCATGAGGTATCCAGGACTGATTAGTCTCTCTGCTAGCCCTTAACTTTCTTACAGTACCTTCATGTGTATCAACTAACTCTGAGACAGATGAGCCTGTATCAGCAAACTAAGCATACTGTGAAAAAATAAAAATGAGCATTAAATGGTATCAATGCACACCTTGTCTTTCTTTACCCTCCTATACTGTCTCTGGGGAAATGGTTTATATATTGGGAAAAATAAACATGACACTCTTAATAGGGTCTGTGTCCAGCACCTACATCCTTACCTAAACATAACCAGTGTCTACATCCTCACCTATACATATCCTGTGTCTATATTTTCTCCAACACATAACATGTCCCTATATCCTCACCTACACAGAGCGTGTTCCTATCTATATCCACACCTACATGTAGCCATTGCCTACATCCTGGTTACATACAACAAGCTGGATATTTCTGGGGTAATATTCAAAAGCCTGCAGACCTATCTCCCTTGGCCCTAATAGGACTCGGACAAGATAATTCCCACACAGTGAAACCTCCAGTTCTGTAGACATGAAGACATTGCTACAGGACAGCCAGTTCCCTGTGTGTTGTTCTAGCATTTTGATACCATCATTTCCTTTCTTTTTTTTATTATTTACATTTCTTTTTTCTATTTTATAATTAATTTAATTTTACATATCAGCCACGGTTTCCCCTGTCATCCCTTCCTCCCCTCCCCCATCCCACGCCCTCCTCCAATGCTCCCCCCATTCTCACCTCCTCCAAGGCAAGGTCTCCCCTGGGGAGTCAGCTCAGCCTGGTAGATTCAGTTGAGGCAGGTCCAGTCCCCTCCTCCCAGCACCAAGGCTGAGCAAAATATATCAGCATAGGCCCTAGGTTCCAAAAAGCCAGCTCATGCACTAAGGAAAGGTCTCGGGCCCACTGCCTGAGTGCCTCCTAAATAGTTCAAGCTAATCAACTGTCTCACTTATCCAGAGGGCCTGGTCCAGTTCCATGGGGGTTCCTCAGCTATTGGTTCATAGTTGATGTGTTTCCACTGGTTATTCTATTTGTTCCTAGCTTTTTCCAATCATGGTCTCAATATCTCTTGCTCATACAATCCCTCCTCTCTCTCTCTGATTGGACTCCTGGAGCTCCACCTGGGGCTTGGCCGTGGATCTCTGCAACCACTTCCATCAGACACTGGATGAGAGTTCTATCGTGACAGTTAGGGTGTTCGGCCATCAGATCACCAGAGTAGGTCAGCTCGGGCTTTCTCTCGACCATAGCCAGTAGTCTATTGTGGAGGTATCTTTGTGGATTTCTGGGGACCTCTCTAGCACTTGGCTTCTTCCTATTCCCATGGTGTCTCTTTCCTTGTTCTCCCACTCTGTTTCTGATTCAACTGGGACCTCCCACTCCCCTAAGCTTTCTTTCCCCCAGCCCTTGCCCTCCATTACACCCTCCACCCCCAGTTTGCTCATGTAGATCTCATCCATTTCTCTGTTGTTGTGCGATACCTGTGTCTTTCTTAGGATCCTCTTTACTAGGTAGCCTCCCTGGAGTTGTGAGTTGCAGTCTGGTTATCCTTTGCTTTACATCCTTTATTCACTTCTGAGTGAGTACATACCATGTTGGTCTTTCTGAGTCTGGGTTACCTCACTCAGGATGATTTTTTCTAGTTCCACCCATTTGCCTGCAAACCTCATGATGTCATTGTTTTTCTCTTCTGAGTAGTACTCCATTGTGTATATGTACCATGTTTTATTTATTCATTCTTCAGTTGAAGGGCATCTAGGTTGTTTCCGGGTTCTGACTATTACAAATAATGCTGCTATGAACATAGTTTAGCATGTGCTCTTGTGGTATGATTGAACATTCCTTGGGTATATGCCCAAGAGTGGTATAGCTTGGTCTTGAGGAATATTGATTCCCAATTTTCTAAGAAAGCACCATATTGATTTCCAAAGTGGTTGTACAAGTTTGCATTCCCACCAACAGTGGAAGAGTGTTCCCCTTGCTCCACATCCTCTCCAATATAAGCTGTCTTCAGTGTTTTTGATTTTAGCCATGCTGACGGGTGTAAGTTGGCATCTCAGAGTCATTTTGATTTTCATTTCCCTGATGATTAAAGTTATGGAGCAATTCCTTAAATATCTCTCAGCCATTTGAACTTTTTCTGTTGAGAATTCTCTGTTTAGCTCTATAGCCCATTTTTCAATTGGACTTTTGGTTATTTTGATGTCTAATTTCTTGAGTTCTTCATATATTCTGGATATCAGCCCTCTGTCAGATATGGGGTTGGTGAAGATAATTTCCCATTCTGAAGGCTGTTGTTTTGCCTTACTGACCATGTCCTTTGCCCTACAAAAGCTTCTCAGTTTCAAGAGGTCCCATTGATTAATTGTTTCTCTCAGTGTCTGTGCTACTGGTGTTATATTTAGGAAGTGATCTCTGGAGCCAGTGCATTCAAGACTACTTGCTACTTTCTCTTCTATCAGGTTCATAGGAGCTGGATTTATGTTGAGGTCTTCAATCCACTTGGACTTAAGTTTTGGGCACGGTGACAGATATGGATTTGCAATCTTCTACATGTTGACATCCAGTTATGCCAGCACCATTTGTTGAAGATGCTCTTTTTTCCATTGTACACATTTGGCTTCTTTGTCGAAAATCATATGTTCATAGGTGTGCGGATTAATGTCAGGGTCTTTAGTTCCATTCCATTGGTCCACATGTTGGTTTTTATGTCAGTACCAAGCTGTTTTTATTACTGTATCTCTATAGTAGAGCTTGAAATCAGGGGTCCTGATGCCTCCAGAGGTTTTTTTATTGTACAGGATTCTGTTGGCTATCCTGGGTTTTTTATTTTTCCATGTGAAGTTGAGTATTGTTCTTTCCAGGTTTGTGAAGAATTGTGTTGGTATTTTGATGGGGATTGCATTGAATCTGTAGATGGCCTTTGGTAGGATTGCCCTTTTTGCTATGTTAATCCTGCCTATCCATGAGCATGGGAGATCTTTCCATTTTCTGACATCTCCTTCAATTTCTTTTATCAGGGACTTAAAGTTCTTGCCATACAGGTCTTCCGCTTGCTTAGTTAGAGTTACCCCAAAGTATTTTATATAATTTGTGGCTATTGTAAAGGGTGATGTATCTCTGATTTCTTTACCAGCCTGTTTGTCATTTGTATGTAGGAGGACTACTGATTTTTTGAGTTAATCTTGTATCCTGTTACATTGCTGAAGGTGTTTATAAGCTGTATGAGTTCCTTAGTTGAATTTTTGGGGTCACTTATGTATACTATCATGTCATCTGCAAATAGGGAAAGCTTGACTTCTTCCTTTCAAATTTGTATCCCCTTTGATCTCCTTATGTTGTCTTATTGCTCTGGCTAGAACTTCACGTACTATATTGAATAAGTATGGGGAGAGCAGACAGCTTTGCCTTGTTCCTGATTTTAGTGGAATCACTTTGAGTTTCTCTCCATTTAGTTTGATGTTGGCTGTTGGTTTGCTGTAAATTGCCTTTATTATGTTTAGGTATGTTTCCTGTATTCCTGATCTCTCCAAGACCTTTATCATGAAGGGTGTTGGATTTTGTCAAATGCCTTTTCTGCATCTAGTGAGATGATTATGTGGGTTTTTTCTTTCAGTGTGTTTATATGGTGTATTACATCAACAGACTTTCGTATGTTGAAGCACTCTTACATCCTTGGGATGAAGCCTACTTGATCATGATGGATAATTGCTTTGATGTGTTCTTAGAGTCTGTTTGCCAGTATTTTACTGAGTATTTTTGCATCAATGTTCATGAGGGAGATTGGTCTGTAGTTCTCTTTCTTTGATGCATCTTTGTTTGGCTTGGGAATCAGGGTAATTGTAGCCTCATAGAAGAAGTTTGGTAATGTTGCTTCCATTTCTATTGTGTGGAACAATTTAAAGAGTATTGGTATTATCTCTTCTTTGAACATCTGGTAGAATTCTGTGTTGAAACCATCTGTTCCTGGGCTTTTTTGGGTGGGAGATTTTTAATGACTGTTTCTATTTCCTTAGAGGTTATTGGTCTATTTAAATAGTTTATCTGGTTTTGATTTAACTTAGGTATGTGGTACCTATCCAGAAAATTATCCATTTCTTTTAGATTTTCCGGTTTTGTGGAGTGGAGGTTTTTGAAGTATGACCTGATGATTCTCTGGATTTCTTCAATGTTAGTTGCTATATCTCCCTTTTCATTTCTGATTTTATATGTGATTTAAGCTTTAGTAGTGTTTCTTTTAGTTATGTGGGTGCCCTTGTGTTTGGGGCATAAATGTTCAGAATTGAAACTTCATATTGGTGGATCTTTCCTCTGATGAGTATTTAAGGTCCTTCTTCATCTCTTTTGATTGATTTTAGTTTGAAGTCTGTTTTGCTGGCTTTTAGGATTTCTACACCTGCTTGTTTCTTAACACCATTTGATTGGAAAGACTTTTCCCAGCCTTTTGTTAGGTAGTGTCTATCTTTGAATTTGAGTTGTGTTTCTTGTATGCAGCAGAAAGATGGGTCCTGCTTTCCTATGCATTTTGTTAGCCTTTGTCTTTTTATAGGTGAATTAAGTCCACTGATATTAAGGGATATTAATGACCAGTGATTGTTCATTCCTGTTATCATTTGGTGGTAGTGTGTGTGTGTGTGTACTTCTCTTCTTTGGGGTTTACTGCTGTGGAGTTATCTCTTGCCTGTGTTTTCATTGGTGTATCTAATTTCCTTAGGTTGGAATTTTCCTTCTAGTGCTTTCTGTAGGGCTGGATTTGTGGATAAGTATTGTTAAATCTGGTTTTGTCTTGGAATGTCTTGTTCATTCCGTCTATGATGACTGAAAGTTTTGCTGGGTATATTAGTCTAAGCTGGCATCCATGGTCTCTTAGTGTCTGCATTACATCTGTTCAGATCCCTCTGGCTTTCAAAATCTCTATTGAGAAATTGGGTATTGTTCTGATGAGTTTGCCTTTATAAGTCACTTGGCCTTTTTTTTTTGCTGCTCTTAATATTCTTTCTTTATTCTGTAGGTTTATTTGTTTAATTATTATGTGTCGAGGGGGCTTTTGGGGGGATCTAGTCTATATGGTGTTCTATAGGCTTCTTGTATCTTCATAGGTATTTCCTTCTTTAAGTTGGGGAAGTTTTCTTCTATG